CTCCGCCCTGACACCCGCTGCCCCTTCCCGTAGCGCTAGTTAATGCCGGGCTGCAGCCTCCAGCGCTGGGTTCATCTACAGCGTTAGAGATTTGTTATTAGATGCGGTGGCTTAATTGATTTCCCGTTAACTGCAGCAGATTTCCAGGAGGTTTCTTACGTAACACAGCAATAACGTTTCTAGCGATAAAGATGGAGCGGCCGTCGTTGACCTGGGGTCATTTGTTCCACCCTGCAACGCTGAAAGTGCCTTTTAGAAACGGTAATTTGGGCCGCAGTGTCGCGGGCGTGTGCAGAACGTGCAATGAACTGCTATTCTGGCATCTGGTTTGAGCGGTCCTAAACCCCAGAGTCCCACACGGGGCTGCCGTCCTGCCGCTCCGCTTATCGCTGCCCTGCTCTGAGCCGTGGCGGCTGCATGACTCCTACACACACCTCTGAAACACTGCCGCTGCGGTCTCGCTTGTCTGAACTGTGCCAAAGGTCCCCAAACTGGCGAGCTGGAGGAGAGAGTGGGGAGCGAGGAAGGACGCGGATTTTCTCCTGAGCTAGGATGGGGTCTGGCACAGTGGACCCACGGCCTTGGCAGTGGTCAGTAGCCGGCGACTCAGGGGTATCTGTGCGTCACAGCACACGTAAGCACCATCCAAAGGAGCCTCAGCATCTGAACATTGCTTCTGACCATGATCACTGCATAATCTTTGTCAAATTGTCAGGCTTTTCTGCCTCCATCCAGTCTCCAAAAAGAAGCGTAATTATTTTTGCTATTTTTGCCTGTTTTGTTCGCTTTTTTTTTTAATGTGGCTTCCCAGTGAAAGAAGGCTTATGTGATTACACCATCTGTCCCTAGTGATGTTCAGCTGCAAACAAATTTGACAGAAGGATAAAGATCTCTAAGAGATTTAAATTCTTAAAATGTTTAATGAGAATCAGCAGCAGCATGCAATTTGTTGCCCTGCTGGACAAAGCATTGTAGTGCAAATGCAGCATATTTATCTGCTTGTTTTTCTGCTATGTGATAGCAAATGAAAACTCTCTGGCTGATCTGCCGTCTCCAAATCTGCCACGTTGCCTGTTGCCCAGCTAACCTGGGAGGGATCTGGAAGCAGGAAAGTGGTGGGAACTGGGAGGTTAGACTAGCTGAAAAATGGGAGTTGACTGTACTGGGGAAGGGGAAATGGAAGAAGGAGGTAGAAGGAGACCATACTGGGGAAGGGGTACTGGAAATATGAGGTAAAAGGGGGTGAACTGGAAATGAGAGTAGTGTATTAGGAAGACAGATGTGAAAAGACAAGTTAGGATCGTTGTAGGGGGCTGTTGTCATGGGAAGATGCACAAGGCATAACACAAATCTGAACAAATCTGGTTTTAGTAGTTCTGCTGCTGATAGATGTGCTGCTTTTCCCTGAATTTTGATCCTGAATACTTCATTCCAGTGTCTGTACTCAGAGCTGTAGTGTGACACGTGCCACTGAAGACACCTGCTCGCCTTCCTGCAGTCAGGTCAGGCACATCCCCACTTTCCAACCCTCTTTTTTGTGAGCGGCTGCAAGCCTGGCACCAGGCTGAGCAGCCAGGACTGGGAGAGGCTGGAAAAATGATTCCTGGTCCCAGTCGTGATTGCTGTCCTTCTCAGAGTCTTCAGCATCAGTCTGAGAGGTGATCTCTAAGAAGAGGCTATCCATGCATCTGTTCCTGGATGCTGTGGAGCATTAAATACTGCAGGTGGGTCCATTGCACTTGGAGAAGAGGGGAAAAGAACAGGAGGAATCAGGAACCATTTCTCTGGTGATTGCAAAGCTGAACTGTCATCTCCTATGGCAATACATTTCCCAGAGCTGTGCCCAGGTTGAATGTTTGTCATGCTGTGTTCGCCACCACCCTGCATCTACCCAGAAGAAAAATCAGAGCTCCTCACCTATATTCTTTGTTTTTATTTTTGTTCTCCCCTCGCTGTCTGCCCAGAAAAAGACTCATCACTCAGGTGATGAAGACTCCTTTTAACCCTTGCAAGACACCTGAAAACTGAATGGATGGTAACTTGGTACTGGGCTCCAGCAGCGCTGTGGAAGTGCTGCTGCTGAAAGCAGTGCTATCCTAACATAAATATTTTGCTCTCCAGACCCACATGGTATGTCTACACAGCCCTCAGCTGTGTGAACATATGCACTGAACTGAAATGTCTCTGTTCTGTGCTCGGTTGCTCGCTGCTGACATACTCTCCATTTCCTCTTTTGCTGGAGATTGTGAACTGAGGCCCTAACATGAAAGCTTTCCAGCTTCAGCACCTTATAAATGAAATCTTGACTTTCCAAATGCAGAGCGTAGCAGCCTTATCTACATCTAAAAAATGTAGTAATGCCCATGGGGTTCCAGGAAAGAGCTTTGTCTTGCTTTTACTAAATCTCCCGGGGAGTCTGAGAAATAGGAATGGATCCAAAATTGAATGACTTTGTGGTTTCCAAGCTAAGCTAGAAAGGAAAGGAATTTTCTACTGCCACCTATTAATTTGTAGGGAATTTGCATTTAAAAAAACAGAAAAGAATGTGTGTTGCTATCTTTGTATATAGAGGGTTTTTTTATAGTAAATGTGCAGCAAAAGTTAGTCATGCACATACTCTGAAGTCTGTTATAAGTAGCGGAATAAAAAGAAAGTTCCTCTGTCTGAGCTGTCAATATTTTTCCTATGTTAAGAACAACGACTAAGTAAGATTTATACGTTCTTGCTCAAGAAGGAGTTCAAAGTGTATTTCTAACAAAAAAAAAAAAGGGTTTTTTTCTTCTTCTTTTGCTACCTACTTCTTCTTCACATCTGGAAAGATGTGAAATATTTCCAAACATTTAAAATAGTGAGAGGCAAGGAAAAGGCTCTCCAGGGAAGGATTTTTTCTCCCTTTAGATATATAGATCCTAGTAAGTATTGTTCATGATTACATCAGAAATATGTAGACTCCAGGGCCTAACCCTCCCAGAGTCATGTCAGGGTCACTTCAGAGTGTGATTGCACTGACTTTTACTTTGTATATGCATTGTGATTATCTGTGCTGAGACCCCAAGGCTCGTAGCATAAGTGTGTGTTCTCAGAAGGAAGGAACCCAAGAAGAGCTTTGATCTAGGTCAGTCTGCTATGGCAAAATGTGTGGCAACACTGTCACATTATAGCTGACCTGCCAGATAAATACTTTGGAAAACCCTCCTGTTCGTAGATGACATAAATACTTTTAGTGCAATCCTAGAATTCAAGACTTGATTCATTAAAACAGTTAACAACTGTTTTCTATATGTTTCTTACAAATCCTCAGTATGGATCTGAGACAGTCTATATTCCTTTGGTTGCCTGCCTCCTGTTGATCAAACTTAGTCTAACATGGGCAGAAATGAGAAAAACGCAGTTGATTTGGGCCAAAGATGTGCATGGTGAAGCTGCATCATGCCTTGAAGGCATATGTATGTACACTGATGAAATCCTCCTGTTGCGTCAAAGTATTCACTTTCCCTTTTCCTCTCACGATGCTTTCTAGTTCATCTGACAGTCGTTCAGGTTGTTTTGGTCCATCCTCAGCAGTGTTTTTCATTCTCTCTCTCTTCTTCCCTCTCCTTTACTCCCTCTGAGTTTGTGCAGGGAACAAGAAAACATAAAACTGTGACATCATGTTGTAATCTCTGGCCACCGCCTTGTGTTTTTCCCTGGCTTTGCTTTGCTGCTGGTCTTTCTTTAATAATATATTCCTTTGCAACAGCCACATAAATTACCTAATGGCATAGATCTTATGTTGTTCTGTGGTGATCTATTCCATCTCCATCACTTTGAGCATGACTCTTTCCAGTGTTCATGTGACAAGTTAGGTGACAAACGACACTGAACCCAGCACAAGTACAGAGGATTGCTACAGAGGAAGCATGAGGTTCGCTGACCTGTGATTTCTTTTCCCTGAGCACTCCTGTTTAACTATTGCAATGCAAGTTTCATTTCTCGTATTATTGAAGTTTTCTCATCCTTAATGTTGTCAGTCAACAGTCAAGTTGTGTCTTTCGCTTTTTGGAGATTTCTTCTCTCTAGAGGGCTTAATATAGTTTTTCCTAGGAAAATATAATCTATCACATATGTTTGTGGAACAGAATTGTCTTCCTAACTCTTCTGAGCTGAGCAACAAATTATGAGCCTATTCTACCTCAAGGAAGGTTCATCACGTAGTTGCAAGATTTCAGAACAAATCAAGTAGAATTCTGAAATTTAGAAAAAATAGCATTTTTACCTAGATGCTAACTAAAAAGGTAGGAAGTCAGCACCTTAGCTCCAGCACTGAATATGGCTGCCCCACCTAGTAGCTTGCCATAAGAAGAACTAAGAAGCATTCAGTGACTTCTCTTACAATAGAGCAGGAGTCCAGTTTCAAACAATCCTGACCATCTCGCCAAGAAGAATGTGGAATATGACAAAGACAACAAGAGTACGGTCTTGTTGATGGTCAGAAAAGGCTGAACAAAAGGCACATATGCTATCACAAAATAATTACATTGGTGTTTTTTGAGTGAGAAAAGAATCAGTAACCAAGTCATACCTTCTGTATTAAAGAAAAAAAAGGAAACCCAAAACAGTAACAATAGCAATAATAATAGGTTTGGCTGGTCAGTATTTGACTTTGCAGTACTGGAATTACTCTGTAGGCATTTTCAGAAGACAGTAAAAAAAAAAAAAGAAAAAAAAAGATGAGCTGCAGGAAGGTTTGTCCCTGTTCCAAGCTTAAACAGAAGAATATTTGCATTACAAAACAACTACACGTGAGAGTGAAGGTGGATAAACTATGCACGCAAACCCTATGGGGTTCTTAGCTCCTACTGAATAAAAAGTACAATGTCATGAAAAATTTTAAGTTCTGCTCTCTATAATAGAGACAGTTGTTTAAGTATTTTTCATTATGCACTAATTATCTCTTTAATAATAGAAATAAATGGAGGCTTCAGTCATGCAAACAACTCCACACAGGGATGTGTCTGTGCAAGACCAAGACCTAAATGTTGAAACGCTATTGATTCGTTTCACCATAACAAAGGAAGTTGAACTATTCTAAGATTCACTCTGGTAATTACATGTTCTATTCTGCATTAAATATCCATGATTTAGCTGTTAGGTTGTACCAGCTTCCACTAGGGTTCAAGTTAATTATTAAATTAGGTTAACATTTTTAATGAGAAAATCATATTGAAAAAGATTCTTAGATCATATTTTTGTGTGCTAGTTCAAAAATACCATAGATATATCACTTAATCCCTGCTGCACTCTGCTAGTTATGGTTTTAAAATAATGAGAGAACAAGCAAGACTGTTAGATGTGTTTCTACCCCCCACTCCCCACCTTGTCGCATACATCGAAAACCCATTTGAGCAAAGTGTGGTTTCCCACCCGTTTCCTGAATGGAAGAAGGTATCAAACGATGTGCGCGCTGGAGTGACACTGATGGGGACTGCTGCACGGCCCCTGGTGCAACGGCCGAGCAGTCCCATGGGCAGCGGGCAGCACGAGCAATGGCAAAGCAGAACCATCAGAGCAAAAATATCCACTGATTGTGTTATGTCACTGACTGTCTTTCACAAGTGTGTTGGGAAAACCAGATCCACTGTTTTGCTAAAACAGAACAACTGCCTTTCCTCTTTACATACATAGCAAGTCTCATTGTGGCCTTACGCCATGGTGTAACTCACAAATAATGGGACCTACACAGCAGACTATGCTCTTTGTATAGCCAGCCCTCCTGCTACCATCCTTGAGGACAAAGCCTTTTTGTTTGTTTCTTATGAGTATGTGAAAAAAATACACTTTCTACACAGTCCTAGGCAATGAAGGACGGGGATATAGTCAGAAAAAGTACAAATAGCTCCAAGGAAGGGGTGTGGAACGGGGTGATTATACCTATTAATAAAGGAGACAAGCTTTAATTGCAGCGAGAGTGCTTTTGACTGTGTAGAGTTACTAAAGAGGATCGTAAGTGATTAGTGCAGCACTCCTGAGGGCGAAAGAGGGGCCAGAAGTGTAAATACAAGACGAGATTTAGGGCTTCTCTAAGCTATGGCTTCAAACCTGTCAGCAACCTGCACACGACATCTCTGTTATTGAAGTTACGAAGTGATTCTGTTTTGCAGGGAATGTGTATCCCGTTTCTGGTTCAGTTCCCCCCCTGCGCCTCTGGTGAGAAAAGAAATAAGGACTAAAAGTGATGAGAATGTATTATTGTTTGTGTTACGTTAGTTTCCAAGGGCCTCAAAAAGCATTGGGGAGCTGTTGTGTTTGATGCTGTAGGAACACACAGGAAGGCGCTCCCCGCACATCCCTCATCTGCTCTCGAGTCCTCTCAGTAGAAGGAAGATTATTTTTGCAGACCTCTCCAAGCTCAAGCATTAAGTGTGAGGCTTGCACATTTGCCCTTCTCCATGAGCTTTCCCACAGCCGGGCTGCTGTCTCCTGCATTTGCAAAACTGTGCTTCAGTCCCTCTCCGGCACTTGGCCCCCACACGGCCACGAAAACGGGGCTGACTGAGTCGGTGTGACCGCTAACGGGAATTGCCTGGTGCAGAGGGTCATGAGAAGAGGTTGTGGGACTCAACTGCAGCCAAAGGTGAGACCCACACTCAAAAGCTCCTTGCGCTACGGCTTCCCCTTTCGTTGTGTAACTTAAACATTCCTCAA